GGATTCAGCCACGCCACATTGTATACATGGATTATAGCATCACCGTACCCCACCGAAAGATGGAGTTACAGAGAGAGGGAGAGACAGAGAGGTCTTCCATCGCTGGTTCACTCCCCAAATGGCCACAATAGGTGGGGCTGGGCCATGCCAACACCAGGAGCCAGGAGCTTCTTCCAGGTCTCCCATGTGGGTGCAGGGGCCCAAGCACTAGGGGCCATCTCCTGCTGCTTTCCCGGGTGCATCAGTAGGGAGCTGGATTGGAAGTGGAGCAGCTGGGACTTGAACCAGCGCCCATATGGGATGCTGGTGTCGCAGGCAGTGGCTTTGCCCGCTGTGCCACAGCGTGGGCCCCCAGACTTGAATTCTTACCTAATGACTTTGCCCAGTGCAAGGCTGGGACACGGGGTGAAGTCAGCCGTGAGCTTCTGTTGTTTCCCAGCCTCTCTCAGCCCACACTTTGTCCCGTCACTCTCTGTGCCCAGTGATACGCTGGCTGTCCCTCCAGCTCTCTGTCCCCCTGCCACGTGAACAGACACTGCCTGTCTCCTGCTGCATCCGAGCGGGGCGGCTGAGCTGGTGCACAGCCAGGAGCAGTTCTTCCATTGCCTCCGTGAACGATGTCTTCCTCTCCGCAGAGAAGCCCACGAGGCACCTTCCGAAAGCCCCTCTCCGTCATATTCCTAAATGACTGGGGATTAGCAACTGCCTTCACTTATCTAGGCCATTGCAGCTTGGGGGCTGGCGTTCCGGTGCAGTGGGTTCATCTGCAGCTGTGTGCTGGTTCGAGTCCCGGCTTCTCCTCTTCCAATCCAGCTCCCTCCTAATACACCTGGGAAGGCAGTGGAAGATGGCCCAAGTGCTTGGGTCCTTTCATCCACATGGGAGACCCGGATGGAGTTCCTGACTCCCAGCTTTGGCCTTGGCCCAGACCTGGTTATTGGGGCCATTTAGGGAGTAAATCAGTGGACTGAAGACCCTCCCAGCCCCACCTCGCCTTGCTCCACCTTCCCAATAATTTTTTTAAGTGGCTCAACTTGGGTTCAGTGAGATCTACTATACCTGAATGAGCACAAGCACCCAGAATTACATTCAAATTAACACATTTCTCCAACTGCCACACACCCAGACCTGCCATTGCTTCTTTGAAGGCGGCAAGCGGTCTGGCTTGGAGATTTCTGACCAGCACAAGGCTAGGACTAGGCTAGCCCCTGTACCGCAGGCCCCTCCCCACACTCGGCCACCGCAAGCAGGTGGATCGAGGGAAGAAATCCCCGCGTGAGGGTGGAAGCTGACATCACTCCGGATGCGGGGCGGGGCGGGGCGGGGGTGGGGGGAGGCTCTGAAACAACCCAAATATTTTCCACATTAGCAGGGAGGTCGCCAGCACAGAGCAAAGGCTGCCGTAAGTGGGAACACGTGGAGGGGAATGAGGAGTTGATTCAGCGCAGAAGTCGTGTTGGTCTGGGTGAGGAAGACCGGGGGCCTGCGGACGTGGGGGGGGGGGCTCGCCTGCCCCTGCCGCCAGCTCCCTCTCCCCACACCGCTGGCATCTGCGTTTCGGCGCACACTCGTCCCCCGCACATCATCTGTTTTTTCCCAGGTCTCTCATCTCCCTCCTTCTCATTGCATTCCAATATCCTGCTCTTGCACATGGGCAGCTCTTCCACCTCCTCCAGCCAAGCCTGCCCCAGCCTCTCGATGCGAACCAAACCCCCCCTTTCCTGCTTCGAGTAAAAAGCAGCAAGGGGGGGAGGGATGGGATGAGAGCCCACCTCCGGGCCCGGTGCTGCTCCTCGGCGCCCTCTACCGGCAGACTGGTCGCCGGGAAACCGGTTTCCACAGGCGCCAGATCCCAGGTGCTGGCGGTTGGGGCGATGGGAGGGAGACCCCCAATGAAGGGGCTGCACGCCCCCACGTAAGAAAAGGGGCAGACACTTCATACGGCGTCAAGAATTGAACTGGGTTAACTGGCCGCTGCAGATCAGTGACTTCCAGCCTTGGGGCAATACAATTATCTCAAGGATGGTTATGAAATTCTCAGCGCCACAGAAAACTGACTTGGTCGTGAGCAGGGTGGCAAGGGTCTCTTTTCCACGCCTATATAACCGCCCAGAGCCCGGGAAACTCTGAGGCTCTGCTCTCAAAGGTCAAGAGTCCCTGTTTTCAGAATCACAGCTGTGATCGGGAGGGCCGGCTCGGAGAGCTGCTCCAGGGCCCGGGGGAAGACGTGGCTACATCCTTCGTCTCTGCACCACAGAGAACAATCTAGAATGTTATTTCCCCCTCAATCCCTTCTCTCAATTCTCCTTATTGGCTTTCTGCTCCCAGGAACGTGAAATTAAAACACACACACACACACACACCCCGGAAAGGAAGAAAGGCTGCAAAGGGGAACAGTGAACGTGACGAAAAGGAAAACTAACTGGGAAAGGATGATGAACAGGAGAACAGGCCAGGGCGAGGGCACGCGAAGGGCAACACGGGGAGGAGGCATCCCGGGAGGCTGCCTGGGAGCAGGGGCCCTGTGGGTGTCCCAGCCCACCCTCCCCTAAAGACCTGTGGCAGCTCCAACTCATCCACCTCCAGACCTGGAGCTGGAGCAAGCGCGGATGGGACAGACGACAAGGGAGCCACCAGGCCCAGGAGGACTCTCCAGGAGCTGGGCAGAGACAGAAGCAGAGGACCAAGGCAGGGAGTAGGGGGAGCAGGCTGTCCAGGGGGCTGCGGGGTGGTGTTGCACATAGTGTGAAGGAATGGGCTCCAGTTCACTCGCGCCCCCCCGCCCGCAGGGGCCCGGCTCTTCCTGCAGACGCAGAATTTCATAAGCTCCAGCAGCTGTGGCCAATACCTCAGCTTCCTTCTCGAGGCAACAGCAGCAGCAGGAGGGGAGGCAGAGAAGGAAAGGGCGCGATCGTAACCGCAAACCTTTTCATCTCAGCGGCCCCAAAATTGAAATTTATCAGCGAACTCAATTCTCAACCTCCCTTCCTCCCTCCCTGGCTCGTAACCAAATGATCGAATCAGGCTTTGCGGCGAGGGGGCCAGGAGGCTGTGGGCCTGGGAGGAGGCTTCCGGTTGGAAGCAGGAAGAGATGCACCTGTTTCCAGAGGTGGCGTGGGGTAGAAAGAGCTCATAAAGAGTCCCAGATTGCCGCAAGAAAGATAATAATTTGACGGGGATGAACTTAAATGTCCAAACAGAGGTTGCTCATGGAATTTAAAGGGGGGGGGGGGTGGAGAGAACGTGGGGTAGAGATGAGAAATGTGGAGAAAAAAAGAGAAAAACGCACACACCAGAGTAGACAAAGGGGAGAAACTATAAAAAAAATACAGCCGTACAAATAAGGATAGGAGCTGGGAGAGGAGGCAGGCAGCACCTGGACAGCAAGCTGTCACAGCTGCCGGGAGGGTGGGAGAGACGGGAGGGCAGCGGGGAGGCGGAGAAGGCAGAGCGCCCAGGAGCCCAGGACCTGTCTTGTCTGTGACTTGAAGCAGGTGCACTCACGGAGTTTCCTCACACTCAGTCCTGGCTTCTCCCACAGCTGCCCGAACAACAGGCCTCAGACCTGGCTGGGGCACACCCCCTGCACCACACCTAGCTAGGCCACACCCCCCTGCACTGCACCTGGCTGGGACATGGGCCTCCCGCCCGAGCCCCTGGCTGGGCCACACCTCTGCCTCAACTCCACGCTCCCCCAGCACACCCATGGAGAGTCACTCCTATGGTGTGCTCAGGCAGCACCTGCGCATGTCCGCGGGCCGCAGCCCTCCATCCCAGGGCCATCCCGCTGCCCAGCACTCTCTCCAGAAGAGGCTGCCCGGAGGCGGCCAACAGAGTGGTCTAGAGCCCGTGCTCCGTGTGCTCCGTGTGCTCCGTGTGCTCGGTGAGCCACAGCGTAAACCTTCCATTCCCCACGGCTCGCCCAGCTCTGCAGCCCTCCCATAGAGACAAAAGGAGGCAAGACGGCCCAGGGTCTGGACGCTGTGGCAGGTCGAGGGGCAAGACTCCAGGGAGGCGCGGTGAGTGGTGACGGGCTCAGCCGGATGTGTCACAGCCGGCACAGCCCCAGCTGCAGGGAAACCAAAACCGAGGCGTGGTTGTTTAGGAGTGGGAGCGTGGGGGGCCCTTGCCAACATGCTTGCCGAAGGGCCCAGGGCAGGGACAAGGTGGCACGGCGGTGCGAGGAGAGGACAAGCCGGCCCAGGCTTCAGAGGTAGCAAATAAACACCGCCCAGAAGGGTCTGCTCTGAAGTGGACCAAATGGCTCTCCTGTCCCGTGTTTATGGGGTCATGGACCATTAAGCCAGCCAACCTACAGATGTCTTCATAAGACTTTACGAGATGACACCGGGGAGACCCCATCACTCAGCAGCAAGAAAGGAAGAAACCAGAGCGGAGAATTGCAGATCAGAGGACTCGGCCTCCGAGGAGCCACAGCTCAGGGCGGGCCGCCTGGCCCCCGGGGGCCCCCGTCCCGTTTCTGCCCGTCTCCATCTGACTCGGTACTGCGCTGGGCTTGTGCCGCCCGCTAACAATTACTCACACTGCCCTCCCCCTGCCCCCAGCCATGTTCCTGCTTTAGCCCTCGGAGAAGACAGTGACTTCGGCATTTGTGAGGCAAATCAGAAAGATGAAATAGCTACACTTAACAACACTCACGGACATTGGGACTTTCAAATCTGATTTAGCCTGCTTGGTTTGCTGTTTCATAAATTCTAATAACCACGAGCAGACTCGCCTGGTGAGCCCTGGGCTCTGGCAGGCTAATGTATGTTAGGCACACAGCCTGAACCTGCTCAAGTGGGAAACGCCACACCTTCTTTTATTCCCTCGTGCTTGCGCCACCTTGTGGATATTTCTGGAATGCCAGGGATCAGCAATACCAAAAAAACCTACCTCTTCTGCAAGTGGCTCTTCCAGAAACTGGATGTATGGACTACCAGATCCCCGTCTCAGGGGTGTTAAGACCCAGCCCTTCAAACCACCACTCGGGATCCGTATTTGAAAAGCAACCATTTATTAGAACCAATACAAGAGTATGAAAAGAGGGAAAAGAGGAGGGTGGAAGAGGGGGAGAGAATGAGGTTTGTGTCGGAAGTCAGTTCTGGAAACACATAAATGCCTACTTTTAAACATTTACATTTAAAAGGCGAACATATACATAGATCACTTATCCTTTAAAAAAAATAAAAGCAGACTTGTTTGGCTGAAATAAAAGCAAAAACAAAAAAACACAACCGAAACTCCCCCACAAACCAAAAAGTCCATAGAGAATTTCCCATTTCCATTCAGGAACCTGGCTAGAGTGAGACCCCGCGACCCCGGGGTGGCGCTGAGCACTGCAGGGCAAGCCTGTGCCGGGGGTCGCGGGTCACAGCCTGCAGGAAGTTGGAGAGAGGCCGGGGCCAGGCCGGCCGGCCGAGTCACCTCCTGGCCACTTGGCAGCCATCAGACTCCGCTCTCTCCAACCTCCAGGGCTCCACTGAACCAGCCGGCATCGCCAGTGCTAAGAGTCCACACAGAGAACGGGAATGCGACTGCCAGGGGCCACGACCTTGTGCTTTTTCACAGGTTACAGATCTAGGGCCAAGGGGAGGGGCAGAACCAAGAGCCCTATGGGGAGGAGGAGGTGGCTGAGCCCCTAAACTGGGATGGAAAGAGTAAGGCTCTTGAGCCCACACCCGGGCAAACAGAAAGAGTGTGGCAAGTTTTCTCAAACCAGGAGGGGGAGAGTCAAGGTCAGGTGTGGACGGTGGACATGTAGAGAGATGACAGATGCTGAATTCAGTGTGTGGGAGGAAGCTTTAAAGACCAATGTCCAATTCCGCGTGTTCCACTCATTACCGAAAGAAATGCGGCAGCCTTCATTCCTGGTGGGGGATCAGGAGGTTACAGCTAGTAGGCCAGCTGGTTTCCATGAGAAGCCAAACACCACAAAGGGGAGCCATGACCCGGCTGTGCCGGGACCAGCGCAGGGAGTGACAAGTGACAATGCGAACCGAAACCGTGGAGGGCTGCTTTGCTCCTGAAGACAGCTGGGGCTGGCTCCAGCCCCCAGCCCCCAGCCCGGGGAGTGGAGCCCGAGTTCCTAACCTGCAGAAAGGAGCAGGTGTGGCCTGCCTCCTGCTTCCCTAGTCCAAGGCTTGCGGGTCTAAAACTGCCTCTTGGTGAACACAAGACATAAAAAATACCAAGCGCCCTCCCCCATGCCATCCTAAGTGCATCTGAACCATCGAGACGCCAGCATTCCCAAAACACTGTCAACATCTGAACTAGCAGCTTTGATGTGGGGTGGGGGGCAGAGAACTTGCTGGGGTCACGGAGGCGGCGCCGTGGGGACTGAAGCCACTGGCGGGCTCACGCTCAGTCACGGCGTTCCCCTCAGAGGACCCTCAAGTATTCTGTCAACTGTGATTTGCAATGCCTCACAACACCCCTGTGAGGTAGGTCTGTATTATTACCCCCATTTGACAGATGGGGAACTGAGGCATTGAAAGGAGTGACTTGCCCAAGGTCAGCCATCAGGGTCAGTTGAGGAGGTTGGCACACAGCGAGGCAGCTTCCACTGAATTCCTAACCCAGGTCCTAGGGCATCTGACTTCCCAGAGTGCACTTGGAAGCAAAAGGAAGCCAGCAGGCAGACCTCATGGGGTCAGCAAACGGCACGCACAAGGGTTACCTGAGGGCCTGGGATTTGCTAGGAGCATGGGAGGAACCTTGGAGAAACAAACTGCTTCTCAGGCAGGCATCCACAGATGCTTGGAAGATGGAGCTGCCTCTGGAACATGGAAAGCAAGGTCTTCTGTACAGAAACGCTTGCTTTACGCTAACAGGTAAAGGACTGCGACACACTGATTTCTCAAAGTTCTGTACTGCGGAACCCAATTCCTAAAATCCAGAAAGCAGCGAGGCCACACCGATGCGGAACAGTCAGACCATTTCCCGGCAGCGGCCTTGGCAGTGCAGGAATCCCAGTGCCACCAAATCCCCCATCCCAGCCCCGCTGCATCTCTCCACCCCGCAGAGTGCCAACATCTTCACAAACAGCTCAAGATCAAGCGCAGAAACTGGCAACCCCTGCTTTCCCACTTGGGGAGAAGGGATGAAGTGTTCCTCTGTAACTCATCATAGAGACTCTTAGAACATTCTTTCCCCCTGCCAGAACTTTTTTTTTTTTTTTTAATAAGAGAAAGGTAAAAACAAAACCCAGTATCATCCCCCTCCTCCTGTGCTACCCCAACCCAGATTACTCTGGATTCTGCCCCTTATCCTAAAACTAGGGGGCCACAGAGAGGTACCACATCAACAGCCAGCTCTGGGTTAGAATCAAATCTTAAAGCTACAAAAAGCTGGGAAACACTGACTTAAGCCTTAAGCGCTGTAACACAATGAAACTTGTTCTTCGAGAATTTCCAAGCAGGAAGCCCCTTCCCTCTCTCTTCCCCCCTCCTGGTCGCCAGTGCTCAAGGAATGACTGATCGTCAGACACAGTGTCATGCTCACCAGGCACACTCTATAGAGTGGCAGGTGTCACTCCAGATCTGAGTAGCAACTTTTCCTCACTGGCTGCTGACCATGCTAGGCTAATCCAGGCGCTGGGCAAGCTCAGGACTGATACTTCAGCAGTGACAGTTCAGAAATTCCCATAAGAATTCCTCAAAAAGAACAATTCCTTAAAGGTCTAGCAAACTGGCCACTCCGGCTTGGAGCAACTGCTAAGGGTCACAGCTGCCAATGCCAGGGGACATCACACAAAACAGAGAGCGACAAGATAAAAAGTTCATTGCATTCCATTTGGCCTAATTTCCTGATAATAGTTTCCTATTAGATTTTCCGATTAATACTGATGGCGCTTACCTAGGCTGTGATAATTAGGTTTTGATCTATTGTGACATTAATGATCACAATGAGTTGACTTTGAAATGGTCTTAATTAATGGCTCTTTCCTTGTCAGCTTTTGCGTCCAGCGCAGGGTCTGCTCCTCCCCCACCACCTTGCTTTAACTCCTTCTCTTACTGACCTTAGAGACGAGAGCACTGGAGGTTCACTTGCTTCCCGTAAGAGATGTAGCCAGGTGAAAATCTTTTTCTGACAGAGGAGCAACATGAGATGATGGTGGGCAGAATAAGGATTCGGATGAAAAGGCGAGAAAACGCGCGAGCCACGAATAGCAACACTTCCGTCCTAGACAGCCAAGTCGAACGTGCTGCTGAGGCAGAAGGAACTCTGAGGGGATGAGGTAGATTCAAATTCAAAGAAGTCAGCGCAAGCAAAAAAGGAAGCAGAACTGCTTTTACGAAGCTTGCCAAAGAACTCCGCGCTTCAGTAACCTTCCAGAACAGGTACTCTCACTCCTGGGGCCCTGCCACCCAAAACCTGGTCAGCTTTGTCACCCGGGCACAGACCCCCCACCTGTGTGTGGTCATGGGGGCGGGGACCGGGAACCTTCCTGACTGACCCCCACGTACTTCCTCACCAGGAGACTCCTCCCCAGACCGCGGGAGACTGGGGACACCGGAGACCGCAGGGGGATGAGTATTTCGGGGAGAGGTTCCTACGCAACGGACCCAAGTCCCTGCTTAGAAACCACACTCCTGCAACACTGAACAAAACTGCACTGGCCACAGGGAGACGAATGGGGCGTCAACACGGGGGTCCAGGCAGTCTTCTAGGGCGATTCTGGTCACGCACAGCAAAGCACGCCCGTTTCAGACTTCTAGTCAGCCTCACGCTCACGTCTCCAGAAGGGGCGAGCGCCTCTGATGGAATGTCTACAGGGCACAAATGCCGCTGCAGAACCCGCCGTGTCCAGAGCCGACCCACAGCATGGTTCGCACTTGCCCTAAGCCATGACCAACTCCACCGCTCAGCACTTCGGCAGAGTCCGCACCAGGGACACGGGCTGTTAACTCCTGCTCGGTGGTTCTCTCCCAGTAGTAATGGCATTTCTAACTAATCCTCAGCTATATTTATTTTCTGGAATATAACGAGTCTTGTTGTTTCTATGGCCAGCTGGCTTTCATCCAAGGTCACAGGTCTCTTCTGAGTAGCCACCAATTAATGTCACTCTTCTCCTCTAGGGCCAGAAGCCACACACACAGCAGCCGGCTGTCTCCGTCCCCACAGACGTGGGTCCACGCACCCACGTGCAGCATTCACGCCAGCATTTGGCTGGCCAGTGCACCCCGCACCAGCACAGAAACTCTGCTGAAGGCAGCCACGGTCTTTTTGAACTCTGTATCCCCTGCCCAAATGTTTGCTGAGTAACCCCACTGCTGATGTACATGAATAGGGCTAGGATTCGAACGTCTCCACACAAACTGGGTAGAAAGAACACCCAATTCAGGGCACCTGCTTCTGTCTATAAGGCTGGTAACATTTCTCATTTTTGCAAGCCACTTTTTTTTTTAAAAAAAGAGAACAAATGTTATGGTCAGTAGTGAAGCCATCACGAAGCTGCACACACTGACTCAGGCCTTTCCTTGCCACAGGCACACGTGCTGGGCTGGTTACGACAGCAGGGACCTCGGGACTGGCTTTCACTCTAGACATCTAAGCCAGAAGGCTGCATGGGGTCACAGACCCAAATGAACTTCCTCTTTAACCTCATTTGTAAGTTTCCTCATTTCAAATGAGGCACTCGTGCCATTGCAAAACAGTCTTAGAAGCCCTTGAATTTGAACCCTAAGGGCAGGCAGACACAACTGCTCCCTGGGCCAAACACAGATTCCTTTGACTTCCCAGCATCTCTGGAGTGAGCTAGGCCCAGAGAGCCAGCAAAAGCTTCAGATAAAAATCTTCCAAACTCTGCCCAGTGGCAAAGGCAGAGTAACGGCCTGAGCTGTGGCGACAGCAGCAACCTCGATGGACAACAGGCAGCATCGTGCAGCTCTGCCTCGGGGACTGCCAAGACCATCCAGACTCCTGACGGCAGGAGGAGCACACGTCCCGAGGCTCCTAGAGTGGCCCAAAATTGGACTGCAGTTTGCAAAAGGAGAAAACACAGCTGCCCCCAGTTTCAGAACGGGTGCTTCTGTCCCAGGGGGACTCTACTGGGAAGAGAGACCGCTAATGCAGAGCAGGGTTTTTAGAAAGACGCTGTGAAAGAGGCCTACCACAGGAGAAGTCTCTTGAGGACTGGAGACCCTAGGCACTGAAAGAGCGGTCCACCTGCAGCCACCAGCTCCGCAGAGAGGCAGTTCTCGCAGGGTAAGGCCAGCTCTGCAGTGCTGACGGAGGCTCCCGCACGCATCTGGTCTCCTGTGTGCTGAAGGCTGGATTTAGTATCAGCCTCTGGCTTCCTGTGTTCCTGACGAATCAGCTGCGGGTAGGCAGGGGACAACAAAGCTTGTGTGGGTGGCACTCGGGTCATCATTTAATACACTGAGGGCAGAAAAAGGTGGGATGAAGAGAAACGAAGGGACTACTGGGGCTATCTTGGTAAAAGATAATCAGATTTTGTTGAACGTCTTTAATGACACTTCTAACCATGGAGACTCTGCGTTCCACGCTTCTCAGGGCCAACCAATGTGCCTGTACCAATACTTCCAAGATCTTTGACCACGTGCTAAGATTTTTGGCTTTAAAAATAAGATCTCTGCAGCTTTTATGCCCACTGGCTACCGGGGGGGGGGGGGCACTGTCATTTTCTCTAGCCGCAAATGAAGAAAGCCACATCCATGAGCTCCAGCCTGCCTTTGTCCTTTTCCTGTCCACCCTAATTGCTGTCCTTGAATACTCCTGGGACCAATCTGTTTTCTGGCCACCTTGCTTTCTTCTAGATGCCCATCAGGTTACGTACATGCAACTGGCCATTACCCAGCACTTGATCTAGGCCTTTAATTCCTTCAGAGAGCAAGGAGTACGGAGATTAAAAACTCCCGCCCACTTGAGGTACGGGGCACGGGCTCTCACCCCATCACATTACCATTCAGGAGGGTTTTCTCAGCTGACTTAAACCGAAAGCTTCATCGTCCCAGTCTGTCACATCACCGCAGCAACAGCTGTCTTCTCACTGTGCAGTATAATTTTTGACATAGCTTATACGAGCACACAAAATCCAATCAGCAGCTGAGCAGGGAGGCAACGCTAACAAATGCGATGAATGGGGATATGATTTGCATATTATTTGGACTGAAGTAATCCATCCGTTCCCTTCATCACTAGGAACAATCTAGAAGCGGCTGAATGCTCCTGGCCAGACAGCTATATGTTTCAAAAATCAAAAGCAACAACAAAAAAACAGCCTCAGCGGCTGGTGAACTCTAAAATTAAGGCCATTTCAAGCATTTATTCTTATTTCCTCAGCTTTGGGGCCGGGATGAAGATGCTCAAAACCCTGCTATTCCCTTACTTTGAGTCCTGATTCTCCAGGCTCCCCCAACTACAAGAAGGAAAAGGAGAGAAGGAGAGCATTTCTTGGGGGTACAAAGGAAGAAGGATATGATCAGGGAAAAAAAAAAAACAAAAAAACAAAAAAACAAACTTTCAACATAACAAAGCAGGAAGAAACCAAAAAGGAAAGACTGTGTTGCCCAGAGAGAGAGGCTGTGTCAAAACCGCTAATGCCAGGGGGCCTGTCACTTCCTAGGGTCATAGTCTTCCATGGAAAACACATTCTTAAAAATCAGACAGACCTAGAACTTGGAGGGGAGAAGGGGAAGAATACCAACACTTCGGGGGTTCTCGGTGGCAATCTAGGAGCTAAGAAGCAGGAAGCTGTAACCGTTGTGAACGTTTCAAATAGATACCGTGGCCAATGGGTCCCCTCCAAGAATTCTCCACTGAAAATAACGGCATGGGGGGCAGGGGTGGGAAGCTTAGATCCGCTGAGAAGTGACTCAGGTTTGAAGCCTCTTTGGTAACAGGAATGCTTTGGGAGGCCACGAAAGTTGGCAGGGTTGGAGGGTGCCTAGCACCTTGGCACAAGCAAGCACCAGGCAATCACTCACACCTACATAAATACATAATCTAAACACGAGGGATGGAAGGAAATCATACAAACATACCACGTGTGATCGGAAAGACAATCGCATCCTACCCCCACCACGTCGTCCTCGTGGACTACAGCTAACAACGTGCACAGCTAACCATCTTGCCATTTTATGACAAACTGACGCCACCTTGCAGAAGGAGCCTTAGGGATTGCTAAGAACAAGGCCAAAGGTCCTGGGGCCAAAAGGAGGGGCTTGACAAAGTTCAATGCAGACCGTGGTTCTCCCGGGGACGGAGTTATTCTGGGAGGATGGGTGAGGACGAACAGAGGCTGGCCCAGAAGGCCACAAGAACCCTGTATTCTCGTGGGGGGAGCTGGACTAGGCTGGGAAAGCCAACAGGTGGCAGTTGCCACTGGCTTTTTAAAAGACGGGCAACATCCTTTCCATCCCCGTATGTCAGAACAACGGTCAGCTGGTCATCAACACGTTCTGAGGACCAAAGCAGGACATCAAAATTACTCATCATTGTAACAAAATCCCCCAATCTTAAAAAGTGACCAACCCTGGAAAGATCAGGACTCGAAGGTGATTAAAAAGTTAAAACTCCTCTTGAGGTCACAGGGGAGCAGGAGGAGGAGATCAGGGCAAAGGAAACCATCGTGGGAGTTACACACAGTATGTAAATGCCTGGTCTGCACGGAGACACTGCGCGTTGAGTCAGACCATCAGTTAGGCTACCAGAGAACCAATACCAACATTCCCCCTGTGGGGCACAGTGAGAAGCACATTTTTTATGGATGTGTTTAGGAGAGAAGGGGGTGGGCAGAAGGAAGAGGAGGCAAGGGAGGTGAATGTATTATGTACAAAGAGAAAGACAGAGCCCACCCCTCCTTTAGCTCTTTGCTGTTTCTTTCTCTTTGTTTTCCGCGTCCTCGGGATACGCGTGCCACGTCAGTCTCTCTTCATAAAATGCTATCACAATCTGTGGACATTTCACGTTGGCTTCTTTTGCAAGAACCAAGTCGGCTTCATCTGTGTCCTTCCTGCAGAGAAAGAAGGGGACACTCAAAAAGGAGAGAAACCGTCTACACACACGCTCATGTCATCAACGCACTCAGTGGACTTGATTCCAAGGTGAAAAGGACCCTTATGGCTCAATATTTTCAAGGAGAAATGGAAGTAAACAAATCATGAGTACATATTGCTTAACTACGGTATTAGACAGATACAGAAATCTGTAGCTGAAATTCAGATGCAAGGGATCGGTGCTGTGGCGCAGTGAATTAATGCCCTGGCCTGAGGCACTGGCATCCCATATGGGCGCCGGTTCGAGTCCCGGCTGCTCCACTTCCGATCCAGCTCTCTGCTATGTCCTGGGAAAGCAGTGGAAGATGGTCCAAGTGCTTGGGCCCCTGCACCTACGTGGGAGACCTGGAAGAAGCTTCTGGCTCCTGATCAGTGCAGCTTTGGCCGTTGTGGCCAATTGGGGAGTAAACCAGCGGATGGAAGACCTCTCTCTCTCTCTCTCTCTGCCTCTCTTCTGTGTAACTCTGACTTTGAAATAAATAAATCAATCTTTAAAAAAAATTTAGATGCAAAATATGACGGCTGAGTTTGAAAAGCTGAATAAATTATACTAATTCTGCTTCCGTAATTTTTATGTATGAGCATGTGAGTAAATACAATTGAACCTCACTATTAATTATGGGTAAACCCATCAGTTCAGTTTCTGGATCATCCCAGTGAACAGGGTCTAGCCTTTTGTGACCTTTTAAATATTCATGACCCCTTTGGTCAGAATTGTGGACTGGTATGGTATGAAAATAGAAATTTAGCTGTGGGGCTGGCACTGTGGTACAGTGGGATAAGCTGCCACCTGCAACGCTGGCATCCTACAGCAGAGTGCCAGGAAGGGTCCTGGCTGCTCTGCTGCCAATCCGGTTCCCTGCTAACACACCTGGAAGGCAGTGGAAGACAGCCCAAATGCCTCAGCCCCAGCACCCACATGGGAGACCCAGATGGAGTTCTAGGCTCCTGGCTTCAGACTTGTCCAGCCCCAGCTGTTACAGTTGTTTGGGAAGGGAATCAGAGGATGGAAGCTCTCTCTCTTTTTCCCCTGCCTTCCCCCCATCCTCTCTGTCACTCTGCCTTTCAAATAAATAAATAAATCTTAAAAATTTTTAGCTGTAACATCCAGTTATCCAACCTACTTTATCAAGTGATCAAAAAATCTAGGAATACGGTTCCTTAACTACTATCTTAAATCAAGGGAAAAGCACTTTAATTAAGATTTTCCTGTGACAAGGGCTATCTCCTTTGGGTCACTCACAGAGGTAAGTGTTATGGGTGAGGAAAGGGAAAACAGGCAGCTGAGACTCAAATCTGGATTAGCGTGGAAAGAGCAATTTAATACGTGAATGCAAACCCTAAGTAACACATACGGCTGAGTAGGGAAACCGCCAGTCAACAGAGCACCTTACTTCGGACAGAACACCGTGGTCCTCCATACACAGGTTTTGGGGTCAGTGCCCGGCAGCATTCTGACCAGTTGAAATATTAAACCTTTGATGAAACGTGTAGGGCCCTCAGCTTCCTTTGTGGCATTGGGGCACAAACCCTCTACACAGCACAAGCCCAGAACCCTTGGAAAAACTGAGAGGCAGTGAGGGCCACACCATCAACCAACCTGCCTTTAAGAAACCCAGCTGAGGGACAGCACTTCACTTTCTTCCGAGAGTCATTCTTTCTACGTGATGACATCACTTGTGCCTTGGCTGCTCACTGTTAACATTCATTTTTTCTGCCACATGTCAATGGCCTTGGCTCTCTGTGATGGCAAAGCCTCACTCAACTCCTGTGCCATGCTCCAGATTCACTGTCTTACAGTAAAGCATCCAGACTTGTGTGAGCCAATGGTTCATCAGGACTCTAAGGTTCCTACCTTGGATTTGCCTCTTTCCAACATGTGGGCTACTGTAACGTAACCGGCTGAATACCCAAGCGTGAAAAGGCTCAAGTCCGTTCCGAACCTTAGTACTCACCTTATGTCAATGCCCACAGCTCATCCTGGTTAAGGATCCCCGGCATTCCACATCATTACTTTGGGAAATTTTCAGTATTGCCACCCCATCCTTCACACAAATTTAAGTCACAGGCAAAGTGACCACAATGACAAACTGAGGACCCGTCTCGCTCACCATTTCATTAGGAACATTAAATCGCCACAGGAATCTGTCGCTCCAATGATCTTTTCTGGCTCCAGTCCTCTCTCAAAGCCCCGGGCGATGTCATTGCTCTGCTATACACAGAGGAGGAAGAAAGGTTACATACAGGTAGTGAAGAGTGAAAAACACTTGTTCCTCAGGTTAGCAAAGCACAACTAAGGTAATATCATCTGCTACCACTTCTGGCCCCAACTTAGAAACATTCTTAGAACTCAAGAATCATGGATCAGTGCTGTGGCTTAGTAGGCTAAGCCTCTGTTTGTGACACTGGCATCCCATATGGGCGCGGGTTTAAGACCCGGCTGCTTCTCTTCCGATCCAGCTCCCTGCTGATGACCTGGGAAAGCAGTGGAAGATGGTCCAACTGCTTGAGCCCCTCCCACGTGGGAGACCTGGAAGAAAATTCTGGCTCCTGGCTTAGGATCAGCTCAGCTCTGGCTGTTGTAGCCATTTGGGGAATGAACTAGTGGACAAAAGATCTCTCTCTCTCTGTCTCTGCCTCTCTGTAACTTTCTGCCTTTCGAGTAAATAATTTTTTTGTTTTTTGACAGGCAGAGTGGACAGTGAAAGAGAGAGACAGGTCTTCCTTTTCCGTTGGTTCACCCCACAATGGCCGCTGCGGCCGGTGCACCGTGCTGATCCGAAGTCAGGAGCCAGGTGCTTCTCCTGGTCTCCCATGTGGGTGTAGGGCCCAAGGACTTGGGCCAACCTCCACTGCACTCCCAGGCCACAGCAGAGAGCTGGACTGGAAGAGGAGCAACCAGTACAGAATCCGGCGCCCCGACCGGGACTAGAACCTGGTGTGCCGGCGGAGAATTAGCCTAGTGAGCCGCGGTGCTGGCCTCGAGTAAATAAATACTAAAAAACAAAAAACAAAAAAAACAACCAAAAACCCTGGATTGGCACCGCAGCTCACTAGACTAATCCTCTGCCTGTGGCGCCGGCACACCGGGTTCTAGTCCCGGTCGGGGTGCCGGATTCTGTCCTGGTTGCTCCTCTTCCAGTCCAGCTCTCTGCTGTGGCCCGGGAAGGCAGTGGAAGATGGCCCAGCTCCTTGGGCCCTGCACCCGCATGGGAGACCAGAAGCACCTGGCTCCTGGCTTCAGATCAGCCCAGCACACTGGCCGTAGCGGCCATCTGGGGGGTGAACCAACAGAAGGAAGACTTTTCTGTCTCTCTCTCTCACTGTCTAACTCTGCCTGACCAAAAAAATAAATAAATAAAATAAAAAAATCTGGTTACCCCTCTTGTTTCCATCAAATGATTAGAAGTGGCTCTTAAATTCTTTAATACCCCTGGGAGATATTCTGGAATCAAGTGGGAATTCCTCTAATGCTACTCATTCTGAATCTCCTTCGCACCATGAAGTTGACACGTCTGATGTGACAACCAAGTCCACGTCCACCCTAAAACCATTTCAATGGTATGAACTTCAAATGTACCACCCTTCTTGCTCTTCAATAACTTTTTTAGGGTGTAAAGTCACTGTAACACTGGCCAGTGCACCTGAATGCAGCTTTTCACACAGTAGAATCTACACGGATAGAACAGAAAGCAAGAAGGACACAAGACCAACACCGTAAGATGGCAAACCTCAAAGATCACAGACCATGGGGAAGGGAACCTGCTCTATGCTACCCCCTCCTGCCATGATGAGCCATGGCACCAGACGGCTGAACTTGACTGTGACTTTCAGAATAACGACACTGTGTCAAAGGCAACCACGCAGTCTAGGCAAGCAACACAGGCTCTCATCCACGTTGAATGGCACTGGTGACACCTGCAGTGTTTGTTCTGTAATAAGGGCAAGGAATTCTCATATCTTTGTACACCCTCTGAGCTCCATTTTTGCAGCTGAGATACAAAATATTTGAGGGGAGAGATATTTCTTGGGATACACACAGAGGCAAACATGGTTACTTTAGGACATGGTCACGTCTGCGTGAAGACAGACAAGCACTCTCTGCCTGTTAGTAATGGGGGGGGGTAGTATGTGTGTTTGGACTTTTGTCTTTAATACAGCATATAATAATAGACAAAAAAATGGCACTGGTGACAGCCAAAAAGTAAAATTTTACACAAAGAGTACACTGGCTTATCTAGCAGCAGTACAAAAAGGTTTAGAAAGACTGCCCAAACGAACTCCATCTCCGGCGCCTGGTTTTCATAATGAAATCTCTTTGCCCTGATATTCATCTCACTTTCTTCTTGAGAGAGAAAAAGCATTCAGGGTCCAGGTGGTCCCTGAAGATACCAGAACCCACAATAGGAAGGAAATTCCAAGCATGGATCAAGGGGAGATACTGACTTTTTAAAAACATAGCCTCTTTTGGGGGCGCTTAAGGGGAAGAGGTTCCCAGATGTGCACACAGCTGCTCACAGCTGGAATGCTGGCGCATGGACCCGGCAGTAAATCATAGCTGGCGGCTGAAAACAGTTTGCCACATAGGGAGGGAAGCGGGGGAATGGAAGAAAAATGTTCAAGCTGCTGAAAAGGAGCCGAGGCGAGGAAAATGCTAAAATCATCACACAGGCAGTAATCTTAAATCAGGCATAATGCCGACTAACAAATTTCTTCTGCAGTGGTCTAAGGAGAGAAACCCAATCTTCTTCTGTACCGGTAAAGTACGCAATCACCTATCTCCCCAGCTGCCTCCCTCACAGCCACCAGCACCGCCAAGAATGGCGGCAGGGGCCCCAGATGGACTTCCCAATGTAGGGGATGTGCGGGGCTGATTCTCAAGGCCAGCAGCTTCCTAACCCAGCTTGGGAACAAAACTCTCTGCACTGGCCACTGGCTCTGAGCCAGCTCGCTCGGGTCACTCCTTTTTAAAGGGACACAAACACAGGCGGAGGAAACACACATATGGCTCCTAGAAGTCCTACGCTGGCCTGTTTTTGCTCTTTTCACTTAGCTGGCAAATGCATCAAAGATAAGAGCCAGAATACAAAGGAGTAATAAAAAAAAGAGAAAAAAAGAAATCAAGCCCCAGCTCCTTAGAGAAGGGAACACATTCTCAAATCCTTTATCAGTGCAATAAATCATAATCATGTACAGACCTCACTGCAACAGAGCGGTTTAAAAAACAAGTTGTAAAAAATGGAATTAGTGAAACAGGGAGGCAGACACGAACTGAGGGTCCCCTCCACTCATAGCCTACCATCTTTCACTCATTTCAATTCTTCTCCCATTCTCTCTTCTCTGGAGGCCAGGCATCGTCTGCACAGCCTTTATAAACGCTGTTGCCTGGACCCAACACACAGCGAGGCAAGTGCACCTGCTCTGGGGTATATCCTGGGCAGTGGAGATTTCTTTGTTCCCTGCAGGGAGGGGTGCTGTGATCTCATGCTCTACAAAGACGGAGCCCAAAGAGAATGCAGAGAGATGGGGACCCCTGTGGCAGCGGTGCTGGGAGATTCAGAGACGGACTTCCGCTCTTACTTTACTCAACTCTAAGTGTGTGATATATCCTTCACCACAAAAGGCTTTATAACCTTGACATGAAAGGAATGAAAGCTGGGGGGTTCACTGTGTGTTTGCAAGTACACCCACAGATGGAAAAGAGGGAGATGAATAAAACAGATGGGTGGGCACTGGCACAGCCGTGAAGACTGCCGCCCGGGACACCCACAGCCCATATCGAGTGCCCAGGTTCAAGAGGCAGTTCTGCTCCCGACTCCACTTTCCTGCTACTGTGCAGCCCAGAAGGCAGCAGGTAATAGCTCAAGTAATTGGGTCCCTGCCACCTTATGAGGGAGACCTACATTGCGTTTCCAGCTCTTGGCTTCAGCCAGGCCTAGCCGTAGCAATTGAGGGCATTTGGGAAGTGAATTAGCAGATGGAAGATCTCTGTCTGTCCTTCAAATAAACAAAATAAAACATTTTTTAAAAACTTATTAAAAAAAAAAAAAAAAGACAGTAGCAATGCTTGTGCTGGTTGCCTGAGAGCTACAGAGCAGAAGGAGTCAAGCAAATGATCAAACTAAAATTTCCTAACTCTTCCCACAGTAAATAATAATGGTTCCAAATGAAGGGGAAAATTAATTTCTTTTTTAAAATTTTACTTATTTGTTTGAAAGGCAGAGTGAGAGAGAACGAGATAGCAAAAGAGATCTTCCATCCTCTGGTTCACTTCCCAAATGGCCAAAACAGCTGAGACTGGGCCAGGCTGAAGACAGGAGCCCAAAAATCCATCCAGGCCTCCCATGTGGGTGAAGGGGTCCAAAAACTTTGGCCATCTTCCTCCACTTTCCCAGGTGAATTAGCAGGGAGCTGCATTGGAAGTGAAGCAGCCAGGACTTCAACCAGCACCCATAGAGGATGTCAGCATCATAGGCTGACAGTTTAACCCACTGTGCCATAACACTAGCTCCCTGAAAATTAATTTCTTATTCAGATTATGTAGAAATAATATGATCAGGAGAGAATATAAATGCCACTGAACTGTATCCTTTACAATGGTTAGTTGCATATTATGTTTCTCTCACCTCCATTAAGAACGAGAGTATAAAGGGTTGAAAGTGAGTGCCATTCTTGAAAGAAAAGAAAAAAAATGGCAGACATTTCAAAGCTCTTTTCCATTCTTCCAAAATTCACCAAAGATCCTCCTAAGATAACTAAGACATCTGTTTATGGAGAGGGCAGAGAGTGGTTTTAAGTTTTACTTAGATGTGATTTTCCCACCTTAAAACTATTCAGTAGTCACAAATTGTGTTTCTCACTCAGCCAGGAGGGGGCACTGTGGCTAACCAACACACCTCCTGGAAGCTCTTTTGTTCAGCAATTCAACAATTTAGCTTGTGGGTCATAGTCCACGGTTCGAATAGAAATAGGGTGGTTTTCTCTCTCTCTCCCTCCCTCCCTCCCTCTCCCCTTCTCGCAGCAAAATAACAGTTTGTGAAGAAAAAAGGAAAGGAAGCTTACCTCTCTCTTTTTTTTGGACTTGATATCATCAGCGCTGTTGGAGAAATTGGATTTCCTCTTGGTGCTTTCTGACTTCTCCCTGGGTTTGTTGTTCTCACCCTCCTTCATCTTCTTGTACTTTTTCATAAACTCAGAAATTAGCTCAGGGCAATCCAAGTTTTTCTCAGGTTCCCAAGTATTATGCTCCCTGGGCAAGAAAGACGGGGAAAAAGAAAACAAGGGCATAAAAAATCCAATACCTTCAGAGAGGCCATGTAGCACAAAGGACAGACACCCTATCCTAAATTTCTACACGAGAGCAATGAAGAAAATATGTCCACATGGACACCCGGACACAATTGTTTACAGCAGTATTTAACAGTCAAAACCAGAAAACAATTCAACCGGTGAGTGGATAAACGAAATGTGGTATATCCATATAATGGAATACTATTCAACAACAACACCAAAAAACAAAATACTAATATAATACATGCCACAACTTGGAAGAACTTCAAAAACATGCTGAGTCAAAGAAACCAGGCCCAAGAGAGTATATATATGAAAAGCCTAGGAGAGACCAATTGAGAGACAGAAAGCAGATTGGTGGTTGCCTAGGGCCATGGCCTCAGAAACGCTCTGCAAGTGGAGTGTGGAGGCGGCTGCACAGCTCTAAAAAGGTATGGAAAATCACAGAACTATAGTTTCCATGGACGAATTTTACAGTGAATACATTATATTTCAGTAAAGCCATTAAAAAAAACCAACTTTCGCTCATGGAGTGGTTCCCACACATTATCATCTGTGCAACAGCTAAAGAGAGGACAGCCTGATACCTCGCGCACCCTCACTGTCCACTGTCTCCAGGGGTACTCATATTTTGAAAAAATGCCAGTGAGTGTTAGAGGATTGTAACCAGTTATTTAGAAGGCAGTATGGTCTTAAATCATTACAATAACGGCGAACCAAAAGATGACGAAGAAGCCGACGTGGAGTACACGAATCCAAGTGCTCTGGACTCAAGTCTGTAATCAGCTAGTGGTCAACATGTATTGTTACATTAACAAAGCTGAGCAATCGCATCTAACTAACTCTGGTTCAAGGGAGTGCTGTTTTGAGAATAACTGGTATTCTCAAAATTCTCCTTTATATTCCCAGCATAGATTTTAAACCAAAACTAACCACACTATGAGTTTATGAAGTCAAACCAAGAAATGTACCCACATGGGAAAAACTGGACCAGGTATCACCTTTCCCCTTAGTCAGCGGCAACCAAGGTTCTTCGAGCTGTATTTTAAGGACTTATTTCTACTAAGACACATCTATAAATATATTATAGTTTCTGTAAATCCCTGATTGACTTGGGGATAACTCTTTAACCTTATGCTCTAATCATATCTAATAAGATGTTTTATTATTTTTATCTTTTAAATTTAAGCAAGGAATCTTTTTGTCTTAAAGATCTTCAATTTCAAAAGCAGAATTACATATTGAGAGAACTTCCATCTGTTGGTGTACTTCCAAAGTGGCCTCAATAGCTGGGCCAAGCCAAAGCCAGGAGCCTGAACTCCATCTGGGTCTTGCACCATGGATGGCAGAGGACCAAGCACTTGGGCCATCCCCCACTGCTTTCCCAGGCACATCAGCAGTGAGCAGGATGGGAAGTGGAGCAGCTGGGACAGGAACCGGCATCCACATGGGATGCCGGTGTGCTGTGACTTACGACAGCCCCTACATAAGGAGTCTTTAGATGGGAATAGTTTTTAACACACACCAGCCAAATAATCTGACTCAACCAGGGAGAAGAACGATGAGAAAATCTCAGCTATTTACTTTAGACCTAAACAACTTCCTGCCAAGAGTGCCAGATTCAGACAAAATTAATTTCTAAATCATCTGAGCTAATACTGGAAGAACATCTCCTTTATATTTCCCCACACAGTAACTTTCCCCTAAGCTCTCAAATTGTACAGTTTACAATCCCAGAAGAAATTAACGCACCAAGTCAAGAAAGGGGCCCTATTCTAACACGGCAAGTAGGCCTGGGGGCAGGGGGTGGGGAAGAATCCCTGCTGATGGGAAGACAGCAGTCCTAAACAGGGGTTATCCTTTTCCCACCATTTTGATACTGCTGTTTCTACTTCAACTACTTTTCACCCCAAATACAGTATAGTATAATTAAGAGCTTAGGTTTTAGGGCCAAAGACACTGGATCTTGGATGACTGTTCCACCATCTTCATGTTACATTATCTTCAATAAATAATTCAGCTCATTTCCTCCTCTGTAAAGCGGCAGAATCTGACCACTGACCAGCACATCCTGTAGCCATCCCCCTCCCCCAATCTGAGGTCCCACTTTTGTGCTCTCAGCTACTGTGGTCTGAAAATATTAAAGGGAAATCCCAGAAATAAGCAACTTCTAAGTTCTAACATGCACACCCTTCTGAGTAGTGTGATGAAATCTTGCACGGCCTGGCTCCGCCTGGGCTGGAACGTCAGCCGTTCCTTCATCCAGCCTTCCCTCATCCCCCTGCCCATTAGTCCCTTGGAAGTAGCCCCAGTCAGACAGACTGAAAACTGCAATGCTCGCATTCAGTGACCCTTCTGCAGCAGCCTAACACCGTGTCACAGTGCCCACATCATCACAAAGTAAGAGTTCTGGGGCTGGCATTGTGGCACGGCAGGGAAAGCCACCACCTCTGATGCCAGCAGCCCATGTGGGTACTGGTTCATGTCCCGGCTGCTCCACTTCTGATCCAGCTCTCTGCTGTGGCCTGGGAAAGCAGTGGAAGATGGACCAAGTCCTTGGGCCCCTGCACCCATGTGGGAGACCTGCAGAAAGCTCCTCGCTCCTGGCTTTGGCCTGGCCCAGCCCTGGCTATTGCGGGCATCTGGGAGTGAACCAGCAGATGCAAGAGCTTTCTCTCTCTGTCTCTCTCTCTCTCTTAACTCTTTCAAAGAAATAAATCAATCTTCAAAAAAAAAAAAAAAAGATATTTTGAGAGACTACATTCGTAGAACTTTCATTATAGTATAATAGCTGTTGTATTCTACCATTAGTTATTAGTGGTTAATCCTTACTTGGGCTAATTTATAAATTAAACGTTATCACAGGTATGTATGCACAGGACAAACAGGTACTCAGGGATCAGTACCAGGCACGGTCTCAGGCACCCACCTTAGCTTGCAGCAGATAAGGGAGCATTGTGTGGAGGGTGTCCACTTGCAGACAAGGCTGAGGCGGAGCAAAATCTGGCCCAGTCTTTCATGAACCCAGGGCAATCACGAAATCATGACAAATGCTCCATCTGTCTACCACAGATCCTTCCCTCTCTGACCTATCATGGGGTACCAGAGCACCTCAATGGCAAGGAGACAGTTTCAAGGACCTTTCAAACATCTGAGTATTTCTAGCGGTGAGTCAATGGGCCCACCAGATCCCCTCAACGTCTTGAGGTGGCTACTTGAGTTCCTATCTCCCAGTGCTCTGGGTCTCTCAAGCTCAAGGGTTCTCGTATCTGGGGAAAGGATGACAGCAATCCTCCTGAGAAATGCGGACAGCATCTTCTGACTGCTGTGCCGCAAGTGCCACATTGGGGCTGGGAGAATGCGAAGTATCTCACGACGCATGAATTGTCCCACCTAAAACACCAACAAGCTCCAGATGAGAAATCTGAACCTGGGTACTGAAATAACCTGCAGCATGTTCCAAAGGCTCCCGACTCACATCTTTATCCAAAAGTAAAGGCAAAACATTGACGTTTGTAGTACACATAGATCCTACCTTTATTATTTTTTTTTAATATTTATTTATTTATTTGAAAGTCAGAGTTACACAAAGAGAGAAGAAGAGGTAGAGAGAGAGAGGTCTTCCATCTGCTGGTTCACTCCCCAATTGGTTGAAATGGTGGGAGCTGCGTCAATCCAAAGCAAGGAGCCAGGAGCCTCTTCCAGGTGTTTGCATGTGGATGCAAGGGCCCAAGCACTTGGGCCAACCTCTACTGCTTTCCCAGGCCATAGCAGAGAGCTGGATTGGAAGTGGAGCAACCAGAACTCAAACCAGTGTCCACATGGAATGCTGGTACTGAAGGCAGTGGCTTTACCCGCTACACATTAGCGCTGGCCCCCTGAAATTCATTTTAATGATATATTTAATTAATAGATCAAAAAATACTACTTGAACATTAATATGAAAATCCTTCGGCCCCTGCACCTGCGTGGGAGACCCAGAAGAAGCTCCTGGCTCCTGACTTTGGATAGGGTCAGCTCCCAACAGATGGCAGACCTCTCTCTGCCTCTGCCTCTCTGTAACTGCCTTTCAAATAAAATAAATCTTAAAAAAAAAATGAATTTCAGGGGCCAGCATTGTGGCCCAGCACGTTAAACAGACACCTGTAACGCTGGCATTTCATATCAAGCATGGCTTGAGTCCCAGCTGCTCTGCTTCTGATCCGTTTCCTGCGAATGCTCCTGGTAAAGCAGACAAGACGGCCCAAATGCTTGAGTCCTATCACCCACATAGGAGACCTGGATGGACAGACTCCTGGCTTCTGTGTGATCCAGCAAGGACTGGGGCAATTTGGATGGTGAACCAGTGGATGGAAGCTCTCTCTCTGTTAACTCTGCCTTTCAAACGAATAAATCAATCTTTAAAATAGGGTCAGGACTATGGCATAGAAGAATAATCCTCCACCTGCAGTGTTGGCACCCCATATGGGTGCAGGTTCAAGTCCCAGCTCGTCTACTTCCGATCCAACTCCCTGCTAATGCGCCTGGGAAAGCAACAGAAGACACGTGGGAAACCAGGAAGCTCCTGGCTCCTGGCTTCAGCCTGGCCCAGCCCTGGCCATTGCAGCCATTTGAGGAGTGAACTAACAGATGGAAAAATCTCTCTTGCTGTCCACCTCTGTAACTCTTTCAAATAAATAAAAATAAATCTAATAAATAAATAAATAAAATTAATTCCACATTTAATGTGACCACTAGAAAATTTAAAATTATGATTTGTACTTCTATTGGACAGCACCGAAACCAATTCCTATCAGTTCATTGGAGTTCTGTGAAATCTTTTTTTTATTTTAAAGATTTTAATTTATTTGATAGGCAGAGTTACAGAGAGGAAAAGACAGAGAGAGAATTTCCATCTGGGGGTTCACTTCCCAAATGGCTGCAACAGCCAGGGCTGGACCAGACAGACTGAAGCCAGGAATTCCTTCTGGATCTTTCACACAGGTGCAGGGGCCCAGGCACCTTGGAGGGCCATCTTCCACTGCTTTCCCAGTACATTAGCAGGGAGCTGGATCAGAAGTGGCACAGCTGGGATTCATACCAGCATCAGCAACCACATGAGATGCTGGAGTTGCAGGCAGAAGCTTAACCTGCTCTATTGAAACACCTGCCCTGAAATCTTTATTAGACATCCTTTATTAGCCATTACAAATTGAGATGGGGGCTAGCATTGTGGCACAATAGGTTAAGCCATTGCCTGCAACTCTGGGTCCCATATGGGCGCCAGTTTCAGCCCCGGCTGCTCCACTTCCAATCCAGCTCCCAGCTAATATGCCTGGAAAAGCACTGGAGGATGGCCCAAGTGCCTGGCCCCCTGCACTTAAGTGGGAGGCCTGCAGAAACCTCCTGGCTACTGCCTGGCCCAGTCCTGGCCATCGCAGCCATCTGGGAAGTAAACCAACAATGGAAGTGCTCTCTCGCGCACTTTCTCTCTCTAATTCTGCCTTTCAAATGAAGTAAATCTTTTAAAGAAAGAAAAGAATTGAGGCAGAATGAGTAACAATTACACAGTCTTACCTAATTAAAAAAAAATTTTTTTTTAATGTATTTGATGGAGTTATATAGAATGAGAGAGAGAGAGAGAGAGAGAAAGGTCTTCCTTCTGCTGGTTCACCCCACAAATGGCTGCTACGGCTGGCGCGCTGCACCGATCCAAAGCCAGGAGCCAGGTGCTTCTCCTGGTCTCCCACGCGGGTGCAGGGCCCAAGGACCTGGGCCATCCTCCACTGCACTCCCAGGCCACAGCAGAGAGCTGGACTGGAAGAGGAGCAACTGGGACAGAATCTGGCGCCCATATGGGATGCTGGCGCCACAGGTGGAGGAATAACCTAGTGCGCCACGGCACCAGCCCAGCCTTACCCATTTTACCTTCAAGCTACTTCTCTATGCTTTGATATGTGCCTCATTCTATTTATTCCAAAGGAAAGAATAATCTACTTTAGCATTTCAGCATAAAGCCAGCTACCGCCTGATAAACTCTAGTTACCACTTCAGTATCATCCTTAAAATTCATTAACTTACTTGAGGAAACCTCAGATTACATAAACATGTTACTGACAGGGTAAGATGCCACTTGACTCGCCTGCATCAGCCTCCCTCCCTACTCCAGCTTCCTGCTAATGCACGCTTCGGGAGGCAGCAGGTGATGTCTAAGCTGGGTCCCTGTCACCAACATGGGTAACCTGGATTGAGTTCCCAGCTCCTGGTTTTGGTCTTGCCTGGCCCAGCACTGCAGGTAGTGGGGAGCAAATGAAGGGATTGAAGACCTCTTTGTCTGCTTCCTTGCCTTTCAAATAAATTAAGTAAAAATATTAAATATAGAAACTAGGTGGTGGCCAGCGCTGCGGCTCACTAGGCTAATCCTCCACCTTGCGGCACCGGCACACCGGGTTCTAGTCCCGGTCGGGGTGCCGGATTCTGTCCCGGTTGCCCCTCTTCCAGGCCAGCTCTCTGCTGTGGCCCGGGAGTGCAGTGGAGGTTGGCCCAAGTGCTTGGGCCCTGCACCCCATGGGAGACCAGGAAAAGCACCTGGCTCCTGCCTTCGGATCAGCACGGTGCGCTGGCCGCAGTGCACCGGCCGCGGCAGCCATTGGAGGGTGAACCAACGGCAAAGGAAGACCTTTCTCTCTGTCTCTCTCTCTCTCCCTGTCCACTCTGCCTGTTAAAAAAAAAGAAAGAAAAAAAAAGAAACTAGGTGGTGTGTGTTCACTCGAAATTTTCTTTACCTCATCTGTGTCTAAAATCTTTAAAAATAAAATGTTGGCCTCAGATTTAAGTCTCACACTGAAATGAATACTCATCAAGACTGGGTGGCTTCATCCTGGGACACCTCAAAGATCCAGTTCGGGAGAAACATGGGCTATGGAACCGACTTTTTTTTTCTTTACCACCAAAAATGTTAATAACAGTTTACACTGACACCAAGCCTATGTTAGGCCCTGTGCATCCATCTATCAGCCCTATGACAAGTACTATTTCTCTTTTTCCTCTGAGGAGGAAAAAAAAAAAACAGATTAAGGAAATTAACTACCATCATCCATCTCATTTCATTAGTGGTGGAGCAAGAATCCGAGCTCAGGCAAACCGGCTGGCTGGTCTGTGCGCTGACCCAAGGCCTTACCCTGCCTCTTACAAGGAGAGTGAGTAGAGTATCAGCTCTACAGGGGAGGAGTCTGTTTAGTCTGTGTTGCATCTTCTGACTCAGGAAAGGTGTGCAGATGGGAGAAAGAAAAGACACACAGACAGCGGTGGCTCCTGGGCAAGTGAATCAAGGCGTTCACCCCTGCAGAGCCCTGGTGCTAAGCACTAGTACTTACTCGGAAAAGCCTTTCCACTTCAGGAGGTACTCCACCTGCCCCTTCACCACGCGCCGATCTAGCACCTTCTCCACCACGTACTCCTCCTCATCCTCCGAAGAAGAGCTGTCGGCCGTCCGCTTGGTTTTCTTCCCCATGTCGCACGCTCTTCCACCTGAAAGACTAAGGCCACCGCGTTCCTGCAGAGAGGGCGACAAGGTGGTTAGAAGCCACACGCGTGGTTCTGGGTCTCAGCCTCTTGGAGATGGGGTGGGGGGCTGTAAGACAAAGTTGCCACGTACTCTTCTTGTGCGTCTCGAATCATTCTACAGATGGACCCTAAGAATTCACTTTAAAAATGGGTTAATCCTTGCTTCCCCAACTTCCACCTTCTTTTCAGCTAAAGAGATCAAAATTATTAGTGCAACTGTTTGACTCCTCTCATTTGAGATTCTAAGACTGGGCTGCTTTTGTAACTATTTAAAAAACCGGGAACTCCAGAGGAAATGTGGAAAACCTCCAGTTAGAGGAACTCAGATAGAATGAAAACTTCTCCCTCCAAGGTGAATAAGGCTCTTTAAGAAAGTGAAAAAAGAAAAGCTTCTAAAATGTAACTCTTCCCTGTCCCAGCCCCTGAGCGTCTCAGGGCCGCACAAACGAGGCCTGCCCAGGCACCGCCGCCACATTTTCAGGGACTCGGTACATTTCCCTTAGACAAACCGAGCTTGTCCCTCCAGAGCATCCATCAGCTCACGAAAGCAAGGCTGACATCTCCAACACACTAAGCCTCCTTTCTAGTGAGCTCAAGTGGGGATGGGAGGGAGGCAGAAAGAAAAAAAAAAATGAGTCCCAAAATTCAAAATGAGTTTACTAGAACGGTTCAATAATCCCCAAGGCTCAGCCAAGGCAAACAGTTAAGGAGGCACCTCTCCTCTTAACTGAAGTTGACTCTGAGCCAAAGGAAGAGGAGGAGGAAGAGGGAGTCTGGCCCCAGACTCAGCATCAACACGAAGCCTCCAGGAAGCACAGAGGAACCATTCATAGGCCCAAGGAGAGCTGGAGCAGGCAACACAAATGGAAATTGAGTTAAGCTCAGAAATATGCACATCAGGGGGTGCTCAACAGAGAATCCAGTTTTTAAAATTCCCACGTCGTTGTTACCATGATCATTTTTAAGAATTCTTCCTTAACCATGCTAAATGGTGCCTACAGTCTGGATCATATGAGTAGCAGGAATTGTTTGCTTAGCTGAACTCCATTTTTATTTTGCTGTAATCTTTAAAGATGTTACTCAGCACTCTCTTAAATATTTCCATCTTGACCACTCCCGGGAATAAGGAGGGCCACTACTAATCTCAGAATTATGTTTGAGTAACATAAGAAGTTGCATTTATCCATTCACTTCGAATTAGCAAAACTTAAGAAATTATTACAAAAATAAAGAATATATAGTTGGAAACCCTATCTCGAACTTACTAGCAATAGGTATGCCCACCTAAAAACCTACTTATATCCATTACTGCCCTACAGTAAAACCAAGTTTTCACTAAAATACTTTATTCGGAAGAGGGAGTAGCAGGAGAATGTAGGTAGGAGGTTTTATGAATTTAGAAGACAGTCCTAAGCTCCAAGAAAATCTATCTGATTTGGTTTATTTAAAATACAAACAGCCTCGGACCTCACCAGGGACAGGAAATGTCGTTTCCAGGGAGAGCAACCCCCCACGCCCACTCACCTTGCAATTTCCGGGAGCTGAGCAGTGTAGGTCAGAGCGCTGGGGTTAAACCCGGCCCATGTCAGATGCATGCAGTTAAACACTGTGGCTATGGCCTCCCCTGCCTCACCAGGAAAAAACAAGGATTTACATATGTGTTCCTCAGTTTGAGGGAGGGATGAGGAAAATTTCCTTTTGTACCTTCATGCAGAAGAGGAACCCCAAAGGTAGATGCATGGGGGTTCCCTCTTTTACCTACCGGATCGCCCCAGTTCTTTCTTTCCCTCTGGGCTAACAGGAGGGGCCTCCCCTCCCAGGTCTGAGGCTTGGCGGGCTGGCAGCTCCCCCGCCCCCACCCAGCTGCCTGGGCGCCACTGCGCAGCTGTCCCAGTCCGTTGCCATGGCAACTGGCAGCCGTACCAGACTAAGGGGGAGAGGCAAATGGAAAAGTTAAAAGGCTTAACTTTCCCTTTCAGCGAAGACTGGGTGGAGAAGTTGGAAGGTAGCTCCCTTGGTCTCAAGTCTAAGGCATTCAGAACTCAAGGGAATTGATTCTTGAGTTTTAAATCCAAAACCTGTGCTTATTCGAAGAGCACTGTGAATTAATCAATAGCATTTTAAGATCATCTAACAAGATTACAGCTCAACTAGCAGGAGGGGAGGAGAAAGGCTGGGTCTCTCTACAACAGAATCAGTACAAACCACCCACCCCCTAATCCAGCCCGCCCCAAGCACTTTGGACAAGGCCTTTTCTACCATCTGTCACTGAACAGTTAATTAAAATTGCTTGGGGGAAAAAATAACAGGAAAGGGGGGAGGGGGCGTATTTTAAAGATACAACCTTCCTTCTTTGGAAGGATTACTAGGTAGAAAGAGAATCCAGAAGCACTGCCCCCAAAAACCTTTCAACTGACATTCCCTGAATACAAGACAAAGGCGAAACAGCAGATCGCTCAGACCACGACTGCTAAATTGAAAGCAGTTCTCATTAGTTGTAATGTTGTGTTAGGAACCAGGTTTCTTCATGGCTGCCCATCTGATACATTAATATACAGCTCCCGTATCAACAATCCCTAAATGCTTGAGAAGAGGACTGGGGTAAGGCAGAGAAACTCAAGAGACAAAGTCCACATATCTTGCTTTCTCCCAGCCTAATAAACCTCTCAGAGACTGCCGGACATGGAACCCTGGAGCTGGGGTTGCCGCCACAGGAGAGCAGGGAAAAAGGACCGTCAAAAGCAAAGAACCCAACCTGACACAAAAACAGAGAAAATGGTGACTATTTTGGCTGTCAAACAGAAGACACATAGGGTGTAAAAGCAAAATAGAAAAAACATTTTTTTAATTATGGGAGATTTACTCAAATCTGAAAGAACTCACCAGGAAGGAAATCTGAGTTAAAAAATGCTTTATAACCTTAATGATATCTCTTTAATGTAACCAAGGATCTGAAAACAATGGCAAAAAGAAAAAAAAATTAAAGCAAGATCCAGACTAATTATTTTGCCACGTGTGATCTTGGATAAATACATTTTTTGTCTACTCCCAGCATCGTTAAAGCGGGATGAGCACTGCACTCCTTCAAGAGTGAATCTATGTTCAAAACCAAAGAGCCGTTACAGCCCCTAGAAGGGAAGCTTCTGCAGAAATGTACCAGAGCTGAAAACAACAGAAGGAAGGCTGTGACCTCCCGAATTCCTAAGCCAGTCCCCTGCTCACACACAGTCCCTGGCTCAACGTGTTGGTGGACAGAGGAGGAACCATGCTAACAGGGGTGCTGGAAAATTGGTAAACTCAGAACGAGGTAGGTATGTCCTCTCCCAAGGGTAAAATATTTATTTCCATTCCTTCCAACTCGGAAAAGCCCTGGAAATGGCTAAACGAAAAGCCTCTAGTGTTAATTCCATGAAGGGATGGCTAAGGGACAGGAAGAATGACAGCAACACTAACATTCTGGCAAAACCCTTCAGGAGAAGAAAAGTGAATTCAACAAGGAAAGGGCCAAAAAATATTCTGTTGTCTACTGCTGCCCCTAAAAACATCAGGACATAAAGACTCAGATCCATTCCCTGCTTCCTACCCTTAAACTGCCGGAAGGACACACACGCCGAGGTCCTTTTCTCTTCGGGAAATGGGTTTTGTAGCAGCTGACAAATCGAATTGGGCCTGATGCCAGGAGTCAAGAGTCCACCCATAATATTCTTTAAAGAATGGCATGCAATTGTCTTGTAAATCTCCAGGACAGTCACAGATCAGAAGCTGGCAAGGATGACGACATAGTTCTGATGGAATGTGTCTTATCTTAACCTTGAAGTTACAGATCTGCTCAGGAGCAGCAGTAAGAAATGAGAAATGCACTCAGACATCGGAGGGGGCATAATTCTCTTTTAGACAGTGCGACCCAGTGTATGAGGGTCAAATGAAACACAAAGCCAGACGAACAATTTAAGGGCTAGAGCCAGGACTAGATAAAGCATCTAGACTGGTGGTTCACGCTGAGCTGGGGTGAGGGGAGCGATCCTGCATGAGAAGTGAGACATGGATGGCAGGATGATGGAGTGATTAGGCGGCAGAATGCTGATACCACGACAGGAAGAGAGGATGAGCCTCTGTGTGCAACCTTATCCTTGTGGAAATCTCCATGGCAAGGGGAGTGCAGCTTCTCCAGTTTCCAGTCATTCAAGCAGAAGGGCTCTCAGCCTCTCCAATACAGACCTGCACGCTCTGGTAAAGGTATCAACACTACCGATACATTGCAGCAACCAAAGTCCAGGAGGACAGGGCAACAGCAGGCCCCAGCAACCCTCCTTCCTTACCAGCCATGCAAGGCAAATTTACCTTACAGGAATCCGGGGGGGGGGGGGGGGGACACAGAAACAAGGGATCTGCTCAGGAAGCCTTGGAAAACCATCAAAGAACTTTGCGGCCATGCACAGAACCCACATTCCAAGCTGCTGACCAGGCTCTTTAAACACATGAATCTTGAAAAAAAAAGAAGAAGAAGAAGAAGAGGTGAGAGGGTTAAGCAGAAAGAAGAGGGAAAGGAATTCCACATGTTCTAAGAGAAAAAAAGTTTAGAAAGTGTAGGTCTTCAGCAATTTCAGCGAGGTCATTACAAGAAAGCCAGGGTGGGTGATCAGAGGACCACGACGCAAGGGCCTGCCCTCGGAAGCACACCACCACCCTCGGAGGCCCTGGCGCCATCGGCTGCACTCGGTCCAGGCTCTGCTCTAGTCCCTCCAGCCTCACTTTTCAATGCCAGCTGCCCTGGTGGCTTCTCTTTAGTTCTTGGTGTAGTACATTTTATTTTCATCATTGCTTTTGCACAAAAGCACATATAATTCTAGATCTTTCTCCAAGCTTTCTTTTTATTGTTGTGCATTGCCTCACTGAACTACCCACCAAACTATTTGGAGATGGCAATCAAACCAAATGTCAAGGTATATAGTCAATGAGCTCTCTCCTCATTTTACAGTTTAACACAAACTCCACGAAGTAGGTAAAATCTTCCAAAAAGAAAGCCAAGGGGCATATGAAAAGTTTCCTATCACATCACAGATTAATATGCCACTGAGGAGTGGCTTCAGTTGCCCCATGCCTGAGAAATTCCCATGCGCCCCTAAGGGCCTTTGAGGAAAGAGTAGTTTAGGGGAACATTTCATTGTCAGACACAGCACAGGCTTCCAGCAAATAACAGAGATGAAAACAAGCCACATTTACAGAACCAACCATTTTAATCTGCTCTACGTCCTTTGCTCTTTATGGACCTGGAAGCACCAATAGTCTTAGGAACGTAACACACACAGCATAAACCCAGAATACCCTCTATAAAGATGTTTTCCTGTGCTGGATTTATGATTTCCAAAGTATTAGCCATGTGGCATTTTCACAAAAAACAGCATAGAGATGCACATTACAGCTGTCCTAGCTGTCTCAGGTTTTGTTAAATGGGCTGATAACTATCACTCCACCTCCAGCAAAAGTCCATGAGCACCCAATTCAAGAGGAGTTAAAAGCTTTTTAAATGTCTATTTAAGAGACTGGATTAGGAGAGGGTTGAGGGGGAAGATTAACTGTGGTCGTTAACACCCCTATCATTAACAAGCCACATATAGACAACACAAACCTTATTAATAGACAGGAGTGTGGAGAGAGGAAATGCTCTCTTTGGCCAGCACAGCACCACTTCATAATCCTTTAGACATGATGTGAAGGCG